ATAAACATTATTTTAAACATTATGCACTTTTTTCAAAGATAGTCCTGCTATTTTATTATGCTTTGAAGAAACGTGCATAATATTTTGATCGATGCGCCCTCTTGTGGCCTCAGGAGAGAAGCCAAAATCTTTTTTCCCCCGAACTGAAATTATGCCTTTTAAATTCGAATATAATTCGAATATTGATCATATTTAAGTACAAAATTCGAATTTAGTTTTCAGCCATTTTGACAACCCTAGTCTAATAGACTAGTCGACTAGCTGTCCAGAAAAGTAGTCAGCTAGTTGACGTGTCCCTATTCACCTTATGTAAATAACTCTCCATATGCTGTGCACCATCAGTGGCCTTTGTTGTTTCTGGCAAGTCCAGCACTGTGTTCACAGAGACTTTGTGATTGGAGAGAATTGCACAGATGAGCCGAAAGCACACATATCTCCATTGCCAGATACATGCTGGTTGCATTGTCATGTCAGTGCTAAAACAGTATTGCCCCATTCACTTGTGTCTCTCAGTATCAGGGAGGTTTGCAACAATTTTGTATGTGAACTCCATATCAGATTGTTTGGGAGAAAGCAAAACTTTTATTTAAAAATTTAAACATTTTATTTTCAGTTTTCCATAATTCCAGCTGTATTAGGCTGAAGTCATGTGATCCTCAATTAGCTGAAAGACCAAAAAAGTCGACGAGTGGCAGGACTACATGAGTAGTCGGTGCAGCACTGAAAACATACATGCAGGAGACTTCATTCTAGCCCACAGGTGTGTGAACCTATTTGGCCTCAGGACAGTATTCCTGATCTGTGACTAAGACTGTGTGCAGTGTGTGTGTCAAGCCCTTGGTCTTTGCCAGGTCGACTGGAATAGGAACCCTCTGAGTTAGAGTCTACTTTCAGTGTCTCACATTTGAAACAGATCAAGGTTTCCGTCCTCCCACGGGAATCAAAAACCGATGTCCTTATTTATATTGCGACTTTCAAAAGACCCTAAACATTTGTTATTTTTATCACCTGAATTATTTAGTGGTCATCTGAGAAATGTGAAAGAGTGAGAGTGACAGGCATAGTGAGAGAGAGATTCTGGAAATGGTAATCCCACCATCAAATTGTTTCCATTGGTTTGCTAGCACCAGCTGCTGTTGTTGGATAAGAAACTTGAATTGCTCATAAAAGAAATATGTAAAGACAAGTTTTACACATTTTACAGGAAACAGTTGGGAAACAGGAAACTAGTGCTGCCAAATTGAACATATTAAATTTTTTCAGATGAATCTTTTTTTTAAACTTCATTAGATTTATTACAACCCATTTACCTAATGGCGAGTTCACACTGCACGATTTTCAAAGACGTCGCATCACTGTTGGTTTCACACTGAAGGACTATCTGGGGTAGCATTCAGTTGTTGCTGTGTTCACACTGCATGATGGAACGACGACAGGAGGTTACACACTGCATGAATTTACAATAGGAAGAATCGCCGACAGCTCTGTCTGGGGCAGGGTTGCCAGGTTTTCGCTAAAAAACCTGCCCAATTACTACTCAAAACTAGCTTGAAAATAGCCCAATTGATTTCAAATTTATTTTTTTAAATTGCGTTCGGGGGGTAGAATACAAATTTTTTGGGCGGGGTTCTCCTGGTACAATTCACTCATTGGCTGTAGGTCATCGCCGATGTGTTTTTCAGTCAGAACTCATTTCACACAACGTGATTGTGAATCGCCGACAGCTCCAGATATTTAGCATGCCAAATATTTCATGGGCATCGGCGATTCCCTCAGATCGCGTCTTTGATAATTCACACTGCGTGATTGTCACTCACGTGAACGAGCACTGATTTGCCTCCGATTTCGGGCATTTGTCGGCGATTTCGCAAAACCTGTCGGCGAGTGAAAAATCGGGCTAAAATCGTGCAGTGTGAACTCGGCATAATTTGACTGTTTAATTCAGTTTAATCTGATTCCTGAAGACTGGTCAGAAGAAAAGCAGCACAGTTTATGTTCAAACAATCCTATAGCTGTGCTCTAATTTATCAGTAAATTATAGAGAAAAATACTTTTAACTTCTAATTTATTTATAATCCAAATTAGATTAGTTTACATAAGTGCAGTAATTTTAAGATTTTTTTTATTGCAGGCTTTATTTTGTTATTGTGATAAAAATTCATTTTAATAGAAACACCTGAAAATGTATGTTTCACCTTCTAGATCTTTTTATAGGGATTTTGAAGGAATTAATTATTCAATCTCATGATTACTTTTGTAGTTTACCAGTTACATAAATAAAACATCTTTCTTACATTTTATTTGTATTCCATAACAAAGAAAATAAAACTAAATGCTAAACACTTTGTATTTAGAGGCACCAAATTAACTCACCAAATTAAGCATTCAAGATTGTGTAAACTACAGAAGTTTATGGTGATAATTATATTATTTATATTACTTTAGTTTAAATGAATTGATAACTGCTTTAGAACTGTAAGCTCACATTACACTGAAAGAAATTGGTGAACAATTTTCACTCAGAAATTGCTAGTAAATTTCAAAAACAATTACAAAACAACTGCAAGAAACACGCTGAATTTTAAAAATTTGAAGTACAAAAACTGAGTATATATAATATTTTCCTGTATCGCATCTTCCAGTAATCTGTTTTATTTACAACTTCCGAAAATCCGGAATTTTTTTTTTTTTACAGTGTTAGATTCAGGGATCTTATCTATGCACAATCAGCTTGTAACACTCCAAAGAGAAAGGAAAACTTGAAATCGCATCATATGACCCCTTTAAGAGTGGTTTTGGTTGAACTAAGTGCAATGGTGAGCTAATGATAGGTAGGTAGTAGCCTTCAGGTCACCTGAGTTTGTGTGTATGTGTGTGTGCACCAAGTGATCAAAAATATAATTCCCAAACACATGCTTCATCACACCTCTCCCTGGCACCAGTCTAATAAACCAGTGTGATGTCTGGGTCTGCATAATGCCAGGCTTTGCCAGTCTGTCTGGCTTTTCTCATGCCACACTAACACCGTTTACTAAGACCAGTCAAACGCTGACGTGATAATTCATTGGCTTTAGCTTTCAGGCCAGACAATGCTACTATACATAATGTGTGTGTTTGTGTGTGTATATTATTTGCAAAGGAGGTCAAAGCCTCATGGTCTAAAAATGCCTTGCCATCTTTCAGTATTGCAGAACAGACAGATGTCTAAACCTAATTTCAGCTAAATCAATTGAATTAGGGGTTTTGGCCACAGGAGGACCAAGTGCCACTGGGTCCTCCTTTGAGGTTTGGCTCCAGCAGGGTCATATTCTCTGTTAGAAACTCGTCCCTCGCTGTTCTGAATGCTCTACTTTCCCCAGATCAAAGTCAGGCATGCCATCTATTGCAGAAATAACACCATTTTATTGTAGATAATGGGTAATAATGTTTGAATATTGAATGTGAGCGTGAATGAAGGAAAAGACACCGAATAAGAGACAGTAAAACCCATGACAATGTACAATATAACTTATGAATTAAGAGGACAAGGACACAGCTGGCTGTCTAGAAAGAACACTCTGCACTCCAATACAATTTTGGATGATACATCTGCACTTACTGCTGTAATTCACTGAATGTGATGATTAAAATACCCTCTTCATCACAAAAATGCATCTTCCACCGGTTTCTCAATAGCACAAAATGAAGATAAACTACTCACATCCCTGGTAGACAATAGCTATTTGGTTATTCTGGCTACAGCAAATGTAGCAATTTGATGTAACTTTTACTTTTAGTGAAATTATGAATCATTAATCACTTCTATTTATCATTTGACATTTAGAAGCCACTCAGCATGTGGCATTTGACATGCGTAGTTATGAATGTAAACCAATTAAAAGGTTTTAGAAAATTTTGTGTGCTTTTAATTTTACTGTAAGTCTCAGTGATATCATTCTTACTGACAATGCAAATCTGAAGTATTTATCACGAGAATGCATGTGTCATCCAGACTTATAGGTTCTTGATTGCTTGTTCGCATAATTTACATAATGTACTGGCCAACCTTAAAAAAATGGTGAAAATTTTTTGACTGACTGCCACATCGGGTCAAATCAATTACTGTTAAATATAATTGTTATATCAAACAAACTTCTGTTATCGTTTTATAGAAGAAAATTATATTATATATATAATTAGCGTTATCGTTTTAACGCCCAGCCCTACTATCTGTACGTGTTTGAACATCACTGTGTTTGCTGTCTATCTCCTCTCACTGTCTCTTCTTTAGGGATGGGCATTTTTCAAAAATCTTGTATTTGAATATTTTGGTTCATATATATTTATATATATGTATATATATATATATATATATATTTAGAAGAACAAAAGCGTTCAAACTCAAGCAGAGCAAATGGAAAAAATAAAGCAGGCCGTGCAATTACAGTACAGAATGTACACACACACCGAGTGTGTAGAATAATATCCACATGCTTGGGTGAATGTTGGCTCCTCAGTTTGATAACAATAAGAACGCACGCCGACACAGACGTTCCAGAGACACAAAGATAACGGTGTGCTAAGTTTCTTGCTTCGTGTTTTCTCTTCTTAAACCACTCTCCCTCAAGGAAACTTAAAGGAAGCATATGTCTCAAGATAATTTCGGTATTAGATAAGCTCTCTTCTTGGCTCACTCGGGGTGCAGCTGCGCTTACCTGCAGTCGTGAATGCAGTGATGGACAGCTGTCTTTCCTCAGTCGACTGGTGTTTGGATTTCATGTGGTGGTGATATTATTTTCACTGATTCATTTGATCAAAAGTAATTCAATTTTGTAAGATCGTCTAGTGAGATCATTTTGATCAAAGTAATTCCAAACTTCGCGAGGCAGATAATGATATGCCTGCTGACCGGAGTTCGGTTCATCTAGCCAGTGGGAAGTGCTCCAACAGGCACACACACACACACACACACACACACATGAACTACATGCTCTCTAACATGTCTTGTGTTATGTGTGTAGGATTATCCACGAGGATGGTTTCTCTGGTGATGATGTGAAGCAGTACAAGCCAGTGGTCTACAGCAATACCATCCAGTCTCTGGCTGCTATCGTGCGTGCCATGGACACACTGGGGCTGGAGTACGGAGACAAGGAGCGTAAAGTGAGTACAGCGCAAACCCTGATAAGCTTGAATGCTTATTAAAGAGTGACATTCCCATTGTGATTATAACCTTATGGATGGTAATTATAACACTTAAGGTCAGCTGTAAATATACTTTACTTTAAAACAGGACCCAAGAAATATATATACAAGACAAATATAAACAGTTCTGTGTAAGATGATTCAGGGGAATTGGATAACAAGGGTCAATGACAGTGACACATATTCATAGCTTCACAGTTCCTGTAGCTGCAATTATGATCTGTAATGAATTGTACTCAATAAGAATGTTGTACATTTTTTAAAAGAATTACACTATTTATAGAAATATTGGCGGTTCAGTACAAGATAAGCTCCTTTAATTTTCTTAAAAAAAAATAAAGGATGTGGTGAGGCAATAATTTAATTAATTAATTTATGCATTTAGCAGACGCTTTTATCCAAAGCGACTTACAGTGCATTCAGGCTATACATTTTTTTTTTTACCAGTATTAATATATACTATTTAATTATATATATATATATTACTATTTTATTTATAGCAATACTATAAATACCATTTGAATACTATTTTATATTTAGGTTAAGAATTTAAAGGGGTCATATGATGCGATTTCAATTTTTTCTTTCTCTTTGGAGTGTTACAAGCTCTTGGTATCCGTAATTATGTCCCCACTGGATGCAACAAATGCCTCGTTTATAATGGGTTTTCATGTTTTTGAATCGTCGCTCTGGCCGTACAGGGCATCACAATATGGTAAGGAGCGTAACATTTCTGTCACACGCTTGAGGTATTCGGCCAATCACAACGCACTGGATAGCTGG